GTATATATATATATATATATATATATATATATATGCGTCTGCTTTACCAAAGTATTTTTTTTCGAATCAGAGGGTTTTAATAATAATAATGATGATAATGTTTTGGTTGTCGAGGGTTTTTTTTACACTATTAATTTGAATATATATATTTTTACATCCTTCCTTTTTTTCGAGTGCATTCCTCCCTCCTCCCCTCCAAAGGATCGATAAAAAGAAATCTCTTTAGTGCTTTTATTTTCATTCATGGATTGAAGTACAGATACATGCAATTTGCTAACCTCATGATGTATTGCATTATTTGAAAACCAAAAATTCCCCTTCCGTGGTCTCCAGGGATTCCCGGTTGACTAAGCCAACTTTTTGTTATACTTTAGCGTCAACGCGGCGCGGTGGCAAACTGAAGATGACTTTGAATCCTTCAGGAATTTGGAAGGCATTTTTTACCAACTGCAAACTTTTCTTTTTTATTTTTCTTCAACAATAGAAGTTGTGTCTATGGAATATCAGGACTGCCTCCTCTGTACTAGATGCTTTTCGGGAGGTGCTTGAAAACGTGGTGCCAAGCATCGTAACGGACACTCCTTCTACGGATGGGTTAATGTTATTGGTTAATAATATCAATGCTAACATGCTTCTCCTAAAACAACATCCTATTAGGCATACCTTGTATCACGGTCATAACTCTTACGCCTGTTTATCGTTAATGGATGGATCTATCTAATTCCCATTGTTTTTGGCCCATGCGTTTCTGCGCGTTCTACAACCCCTCGATCCATGTTGCTTCTTTCCAGAAAATACTTCGCTCTATGCACAATTTTTGTCTCTACACGTAGTTACCAAAGATTTAACCTATGCCTGTTGCATATTCTTTTCGATACTTCAAATAATAAATAGAATTAGTACGATCATGCCTATATTTAAATGCCCCTCTGAACATCAAGAGGGGCTTGAAGAAGTGAAGAAGGCCGTAGGGGTATACCATCACTATCTTGATAATTGGATTTACCTTTTCTTTGAAAACAAGGCTTTTAATGTTCAGGAGACCGTCAAGAAGTTAGAGCGCCGTAAAGATATGGAGGAGTCTGTTTTCCTGAACTATGAAGTCACAACCTACATCAAGGAGTCCATGCGGAGTGGTGGCGTGCAATACATCGGCCGCGATCGGGAGGGCCGACCTATTCTCTACTTTAACATGGCTCTTAACAAGATTGACACGTCGCGGCGGCCGGAAATGCAAGCGAACCTTGATATGTTCCTCAGCTGGGCCTTGCGTTGTGACCCTCTCAACCCTTTCTCGCAGATGACCTGGCTTATTAACCAAAAAGACGCCTCTCTGATGCACAATACGGATTTAATCTTTCAAAAGGACATGGCCTTCCGCGTCAGCAAGTTTTTTCCCGGTACGGTTGCGCGGATGTACATCTGCAATATGAACTTCGCCCTCAGCTTTGTGATCCAGCCGCTTGTGAAGCACCTCCCGAAAGCCTTAGGGAGCAAGATTCACATTTTCTCCGGAAGAGACATCCGCAACGGCAAGCTTCTCGCGCACCTCGATGCCGATGTCTTGCCGGTTGCCCTGGGGGGTACGAATGCCTGTGATAGCAAGGAAGGCTACAACCATTTTGCCTTGTCGGTTGAGAAATACTTCGAGCGCTGCGTCCAGGCGCTTCGCCAAGGCCTCAGCATCAAGCAGCTGGAGATGATGGAGGTGTATTTAGTGGACAAAGACGGCCGCTCCTTACCGTCCACTCCTGTTAGGGCGTCCGGCGGCGGACCGGACGGGGGCTCGGATCCCGACCCCTCCCCCGTCGACGACGGCCTGCCGGGGGGCGTCTTCCCCAGGACGAACGCGACGGTGAGCCCGGCGGGGAGTCTGGAGTCCTTCGGGGACAGCTTCGACGAGGGCCGCGCGCAGCTCCCGCGGCGGCTGAGCCTGGAGTGCCGGCGCTCCGCGACGGCGCTGGAGGTGGCCGCGCGGGGGCGCCCCCCCCCCCCTTC